CGGTCAGCGGGCAAGAAGGCAGATTTCTCGGTGCACAAAACTAAACGTTTCCTTTTAGTCCCAAGACACTAAAGATGCAGAAGCTGACTTAATTCACTACTCTGCTAAATTTCAAATGTAAACAAATATGGTTGTTATGGTTAAAAAAAACTTAAACAACTTTCAAATTGTTGATAATTGTTGATAACTTTCAAATTGCTGTTCCACAACTATTACATGCAGATTAACTAATAAATTTGCTTTTTTACGTTTATGCGTGTTTGTTAAAACTTAAATTTGTTTAAATTTAAATTTCATTCCTTGCAGCAATGGCGCAAAGAATATTGAATTAAATTTGTCTTCAAATTTAATTTTTTTAATTAAATTCAATTTATTCTTATGAAACAATATATATATATATATATATATGGTGTGGCCGATTGCAACCAAAAAAGGTAGGTGCACGCGTACATGTTGCAGCACTTCTATATACAAAATTGCAACATTCTGAGGCTACTCGTTTTTGAGTTATGAAGATATATTCATACATACGTACGTACGTACGTATAGACGTCACAACAAAATCTCTTTTGAATTCATTTTATATCCTTTTCGCAACCCGTTTTGGGAAAAAGAGTCCTTTATTCTGACATTGCGTACAGATGTCACGCAAAAACATTGTTAAATTGCATTCGATAGCGGTCAAAATAGGTATTTTCGTTGAAATATGATACCCGGAAATTTTCGCAAATAAAATATTTTCTTTACCTCGTACAAGGAAGTAAAAAAGAATGGAGAGATCAGTCTATTAGATTTTTAAATGCTATCTAAGTGTTAAATAAATAAATCATAAACCATATGATCATATATTTGTACACATAAAAAGTCGTATCTTCATTCAGATCTGTAACAGTACATAGTTATCAACCGTCTTTCCTTACAAACCTGCACTGAGGGACGACTACTTCTAACAGATTTTCATGCACTGTTAATTATTTGGCGATTTTTACCCCTAAAATGAATGTTAAAGTTTGGCCCCATTTTCAAAAAATATTATTTTCCGCAAAGGAAATTTTGCTTATCCCATAATAAACCAGTATAAATACGAGTAAATTCACTGTAACTATTTCTTGAATTCAGTAAGAAAAACAATAACGAACGTTTCCCTTAGCATTGCAATAATTCAGTTTCATTTCTTTTTCAAAAGATGTTAAAACACTTTTACTTTTACCTATTTTTACTTTAAACTTACTTTTACTTTTAACACTATTATTACACTTATTACTCTATATTACACTTACGTTTCTATTCAAATTATGGTTTGCCGACTTCTGCTATATAACATGCATTTTCTATTCAGCACTTAAGTTGTTTAAAACTTTTTTTTTTATTTTTTATATCAAATTTACTTTGAAGATAGTTAGACACTTTCAATAAAGCAAAGATTCACATTTCCTTAAACAAGAAACGATATGTTCAAAGTCTGATAATTTATATTTTAGATATATGAAACTATATACCTATTTCGAAATATTACTTACTTTGATGCACAGTAAAACCTATTTTTATTGTTCTTGTTTTGATGTTCAGTATGAAAAATATGACTAAGTATAATAAATTTCACGAACTTCTAATCCTTTTCTAAACATTTTTATTTTTATTATGAAAAAGAGATTGAATGCTGTAGCATTTAGATTTAACCCTTTGTTGCATCATGTCCACTCTAGTAGACAAAAGTTTAAATTGTTTAGTCTTCTGTAAATGCCTGAACAGATTAAATTCCTGTGTTTATTCATTCTATATTATTTTAACTTTCAATTGTCGATCACAGATGTCTGCATGGCATCACTAAGTAAAGCATTGCTGTTTGGAAATTCTTGCTCCATTACATGAAAGAAATATATGTCGATATTCGAAGAACATTTAGATTCTTTACATTAAAAATTGGTTTTATTGTATTTGATAATTAAGAGATCATGAACAGTCATTACACATTTAGAAAATTTCACGAATCTTTTTTCACGATATGTTTTGTGAAATGCCGCACCTAAACGTATCTAATGTACCTGAAGCTAAAAAAATATATTGTCTATACCTACACACTAACGGTGGTCTCTTTATCAGCTAAAAAAATTATATTACTCTGAGTTCAAGTCCATTTTATTTCATGCACCAATAATGCCTCGCGTAATATTTAGTGTTTTGGAATATAAACTTGAAATTAGCACCTGCTTTTATTCGCTATCAAAACATGTATAAGAAAAAGGTCCCGTGTTATATAATTAACAGGTTTTACTACATAATAAAACGTCATAAGTTATGGACAATCTCCAGATACCCATTTAATTAATTTTGCATAATACGAATACAGTTTAAAATTCACAGATTCCAATAAATTAAAAACAGTTCAATTTTTGATAAATCATAGTCGGTACTTTGGGATTATCCCGTATCCCATGGTTAGATTCAAGAAAAATTCAATGTGTAATTATAAAAAATACAGGTCTTTTACTTTGCTTTGATTTTTTTTATTACACTTTTTATTACGTAGTATTAGTCCAAGGGGGCTTTGCCCCTGAAGGACTATTGTTTTGTTTTTCGATTTTGCGTTGAAAACTTTAAAAGGCTGTATCATTTTTCAAATCGTTGCCACCGAATACCCTATATTATATTTGAAGGAATTAAATAATGAATAATCTGCATAAATGTGTGTATGTTTCTCGCATTGTGATAAAACAACGGTACCTAGAGCCATCCAATTTTGAATGAAGTAATCCTACTGCCAATATGGGTATCTGAAAGCCCAAATTTGAAATTTGGAATTTCTTCTATTATCTATTTCATATTTGTAAAGTTTAACGAATTTTTCATTAACGAGCTCAACGATTTAAAATACAGAAATGGCAACACTCTATTGGGGAAAAAAATCTTTTTTATCTCCAGCGCGGAACTGTATATCGGAAATTCTAAAGATATGCTCATTTTAAAATTATTTTGCGACACTGTTGTTAAACTGAATTTTATGCTTTAAGTGCAAAGAACATGATATTTAATAAATAAAGGTAACACACAAAACGTTAAAAAACGCCCCTTTGGGGGGTAATTTAAAATCTGAAAACTTTCAAATTAAATTATTTTTCAGACTTACTTTTTTATTATTATTTGATAAATTTAATGTGTTTAGAATGTTTATTATGGAAATTGCTTTTCATTATGATGACACCAAAGGATTTGCGTATTTTCGCGAGAGTTTACAGGTGGACGTGATAATTCCAAAGTACCTCATAGACATTACACACTTACAATTCAACAGCGATCTTGAATTGGATATTCATATAAGGGCAGTATTCATGAAGACAGAAGCATTCCTTCCTGATAATAATTTCAGCTCAATATTTATACTTGCTTGAAAATGTGTCTAAATTTTCACTCCGCTTGTACTCCTTTACTCACAAGCCTTTATAAAAATTTAATTACATCGTGTATATCAAAATTTATATTAAGGATAAAATCTTAGTTAAACATTATACCTGAATTACCATAGAAATTTTTTTTATTAAAATAGACTTAGTCAAGGAATTTAGAAGCTCAAAGATTTGGTTTGCACTAAACTTCAAAACTCTAGGACTATCTCTTACAAATATTTAGTTAATAAATACATATTACTAATTCGAATGATCAAACTATAAAAAACATCATGAAAACCTTATTTCTTAAAAAAAAGCATTGAAAAATTTTACTCCTATCTATATATAATAAGAAACTCGAGTAATTATAAATAAATTTGCTTAATAGTTTAATATTTTTCTCATGTTACTTAAAGATAAAGATTAAAATTCCTTAAGATAAAGTTTCAGTTAAAAAAGTTAAAAATCTCATTAAATAACCGAAGAAAACCCTTTTAATTTTACAGTCTTTTAAAGCCTGCAGTCAACATTCGATTTGAGATTTATATCTAATATAAAAATTTTACAGGATTTTTTTCAATGATATAAACTTGCATTATGAAATGAATTAGCAAAAGTTAATTTAGATAAATTGTGAATTAATTTACAGATATTAAACAAAGAAAGGAATTATTTTATATCCGGCGTTCAATTGCATATCTTTATATGATTCTATAACGCAGATATCGTAAATATATCTGTTAAATTAGAATACAGCGCCACCTATTGTAGTGAAGAGAAAACGTTCACTTAGCCACTGGATTCGGCTCAGGAAACAAGTCGAAGTATGCTGTAGAATTTTAGTTGTAATTAACATTAATAAAGTTGTTTTTGTTCTTTTTTATACAGTCCGCTCATTTAGTTAAGAATTATCGAAACAAAATACAATACCTGCATTAGATTAACGTATGTAGGACATTTTGAATCTGTTTGTGAGAGTGTGTTTCGAAATAATTAATTTACAAGATTTGTGCAATTACTTATTTTCTCCTTTTTTTACAATCTTCCATTCATTAAGATGATATTTATATCATTAAAAAAATAAGCAAACGGAATATTCTAAATAATGAGGTAATAAATACCAAATGAAAAAAAAAATCTTATAAACTTATAAAGACAATCATGACATGCAGACGATTAAAAAGTAATCCGAAATTAAATTTAAGATGCATTTTGGCGATAGTAACTTCAGTTGACAGAATGCTTTAAGCAATAAGGAAGCTCCTTAAATCGTACAAAATTTTTAAGAATGCACAAAATTTCTCAAAATAAAATAAATTTGAAAACAAATTAAAATCTTCAGGTGAGTCATTAGCTTACGCAATATTAACTAGAAATTAATTTAAAGAGAAAAATAGGTTAAATCAAATAAATATTTCTAGAATAGAATTTTTCTTTACAAAGGTTGTATATTTTATTAAAGCGTTGAAAATAGACTTTGAAGCAATTATTTTTTAATTAATTTCATTTAAATGGATAAAGACATGCATATTATCGACGCATTTTTCCAAACATTTTACTTAAACCAAAATTATAATAAAAATATTTCTTTTCAGATGGAAAAGTTCGCACGCATTTAGAAAAAAATTAACTGCATTTCTTTAATATTAAAATATCATAAAGCGATTTATACAGAATTAAAGTCATATTTTTTTGGAATATCTCTCAGGGGAAATTCAGATTCATTAAATTTTGGTCTGAAACAGATACAGCATACAATAAATTTCCTTTGCTTAAGTCATGCTTAAATGTTTTAATGTAAACATTGTTTTTTTTAATTATCTCAAATATTTTATTCCAAGATCGTTTCCGACAATTCGCTAAGTATTTTTGAGTTAAGTTTCCTATAAAAATAAATTGGGAAAATTAAATTTATGCGTAAGCTATTTTACACAAATAGAATACACAAATTTAAATTAAGTGCATCAAACAGGCTAATTTCGAGTTTAAATAATCACTTCATTGAATATACCAGAATGATTTTCTCAGATGAATCTTCTCTGTCTCGTAGAGTCCTGTAAAATTTATTCATAATTTTAAACTCGAGAATGTTCCTAATGTGATCCTTTACAGCTAATATGGTAGTATCTTCTACACTGTTCTCCAAATTTACATAACTAGACACTTTCCTTTCAGATTATCTTTCCTAAACTGCGCAAGAGTCCTACGTTCGCTCTGTAGACTGACGTTTCGGGACTTTTCCATATTCAGCAGCTCTTGAAACATTTCTTTGACGTTCGTGTTGTTCTTTGCTGATGTTTCCATGAAATTGCAATTCCATTTATGCGCTTGAGCCATACCATCTTGGTAGCTGACTTCCCTTGCTTCTTCTTCGTCGCTCTTGTTACCCACAAGCATCATTGGAATTCCTTCTAATGATCCCTGTAAGTATAAGAAAGAATTTTTTATTTTCATTTATTACACCAATGCACAGATATACGAGGGCTACTTTTTTCCAACCTCCAATGGGCTATAAAGAAAAGACGGGTGAATGTACAACAAAGATTTTATTACCAAAAGAAATGTACAATACGGTTACAGCCGAAAACATCGCGGCAAAAACATCGCAGACGAAAACGTCGCGGAGAAAACAACGCAAGGCGAAAGCGTCGTGCTACAAAACATCGTGGGAGAAAACATCGCAAAAAAAAACATCGCAGTTCTAAAACATCGTGGTACAAAACATCGTCGTCGAAAACAAAGCGGTTCAAAAACTTCGCAGTTTAAAAACATCGTCGTCGAAAATATCGTGGTAAAAAATAAAGTATCTACAAATCATCGCATGACGATAACATCGTAGACATGCTTTTTTCAGACATGCTTTAATAACTGTAAATGGATATTCCCATAATGATTTTTGAGCGCAAGATGGAAAGAAGGATAATTTTTTACTTGCATATTTTTTATTAATTACTAAATTTTTGCTGAGAAAATAAAAAGGAAACTTAAGAATAGAAAATTAATGCAACTTATAGCACTTAATAGAATTTTAAACCGACATAGTTAACTAACAAAGGCCCTTAATAAATCATTTTTATAAAGTTTTTACTAGTAATTTTTCATGAAAAGTATAATCTATAAGTTGCATTTAATTTTCTATGCCTAAGTTTCCTTCTTACGTCACAAATCATTATATGAATATCCATTTACAATTATTAAAACCTGAAAAAAAGCATGTCTGCGATGTTATCGTCATGCGATGATTTGCAGATACTTTATTTTTTACCACGATATTTTCGACGACGATGTTTTTAAACTGCGAAGTTTTTGAACCGCTATATTTTGGACAACGATGTTTTGTACTACGATGTTTTAGAACTTCTCTTTGCGATGTTTTCTCCCACGATGTTTTGTAGCACGACGTTTTCGCCTTGCGTTGTTTTCTCCGCGACGTTTTCGTCTGCGATGTTTTCGGCGGACACCGTACAATACAGGTTATTTCTCTACATAATCACTTTGACAATTGAGGCATTTGTCATTTGACGATTGAGGCATTTGTCATATCTGTGAACACGCTTTCCAATACCCTCTTCATAAAATGTCCCCGCCAATGATTGGAAGTGAGTTGTTTGTGACGGTTTCTTTCATCTTAATGTCATTTTGGAAGCGCTTCCCGCCAAGCCACTGCTTCAGTTCAGGGAACAGATGAAAGTCACTCGGCGCTAGGTCGGAAATATATGGTGGATGTTCGAAAATGTCCCATTGAATTTGCTGAAGGAGCCGTTGGGTTACACGAGCGCTGTGAGGACGGGCATTGTCGTGGATCAGAACAATTCCAGAAGTCAGCATGCCTCTTCGTTTGTTTTGAATAGCTCTCCGTAAGCGTCGCAAAGTTTCACAATATGAATCTGCATTAATTGTTGTTCCAGGCTGCATAAACTCCACAAGCAACACACCTTTTTGGTCCCAAAAAACAGTTGCCATAACCTTACGGTTGTTAAAGGTTCGTTTGAATTTTGTGGGTCTCTTTGGAGAATTTGTGTGCATCCATAGTTGTGATTGTCGGTTTCGTTTCGGACGTGTCATATTGAACCCATGTCTCATCACCTGTCACAATGGATTTCAAAAACTCTTCTCCGTCAGTATTGTAACGGTCAAGAAACTCAAACGCTGCAACCATTCCGCGAGTTTTGTGGTCGTCAGTCAACATCTGTGAGACCCAGCGAGCGCAAACATTTCTGTAGCGCAACTGTTCAGTAACGATAGAGTACAGGGAAGATCTTGAAACTTCCGGAAATTTCATCGATAATTCACTTATGGTGAACCTTCGATTTTGCTTAACCGCTTGGTCAACTCGTTGAACAATATCGTCTGTAGCGACAGACTTGCGTCCTTGACCCCCTTCAGCATGCACATTAGTTCGGCCATCGTTAAAGTTTCGACACCATTCACGAACAACGCCATCACTCATAAAGCTATTTCCATACACTCGCTCATTCTTCGATGAGTTTCCGCTGCACTGTTCCCTTCTGCCTGCAAGAAACGAATAACAGCTAGCAATTCACACTTGGCGGGCGAATCAATAGCGACAGCCATGTTTATGTGACTGCAACTCAACACAAAATGGCGTGTTGAATACGCCAGTGACACAGCGTGTGGAGGGGGAGATGCGCAGTCGCCTACTACGTACACCAACCACCTGCCGCATACCTGGCCATCATACTGTGCGATCGGAGGTTGAAAAAAAACAACCTACGTACATACGACACATCCTGGGAAAGGTAGGAATGATTTTAATAAAATATTGTTTCAAGAGATATTTTAGAAATTTTATTTAAAAGCTTACAGAAAAGGAAAATAATTAAAATTTTAAGCGACTAAAGCTTTTGCTCTGAATTTAAAATCCACTTGTATATTTCTGATAAAAAGTAACAAAAGCTTTATCTAAAAAACATTGTATAAGAATGATCAAACATTCCTGTTTGATAGCCAATGTTGCGTGCGAATTTTCCCGGAATAATTCGATTGAACCAAATGCAGTTACTAAACATTTCATTGCACTCCACGTTAGGATGAGAAAACATGGTATACATATTGAAAGCATCGTTGCTACCATATTCATCCAACGTAGATTAATGGCATCTCTTTTCGGTTAAAACAGTTGACTTTCTAAACCCTAAACTTTTTTTCCAATGGTAGGCTCTCAGCCGACTTCGGCTTGGCCACAAACTGAGGCAGAAGTGGTAGTCATTTTTTTCTGGGGGCACCTAATAGATGGGACACCTTTGCCTCCTGTGAAGGGTAATGTTTCTATTATTCAGTTTCGTAACATACACTGTAAAGTCTAAGTGTGCACTGCATAATTAGTATTGTAATGTATAATAATTGTATAATGGGTAATGTTTCTATTATTCAGTTTCGTTACATACACTGTAAATTCTATGTGTACTGCATAATTAGTATTGTAATGTATTGAAATTGTATAATTGGTAATGTAGGACTTGTTTAAATCAGTATCGCAATATATACTTCACTACTACAAAATTAGTTTTTAAATGTATTATAACTGAATCATTACTAACGTAACGTATTGTAAAAGTAGCATGTTACAAAAGACCCTGTATGGCCATGTACTTATATTTTTCTCATATATCAACAAACACTGGTACCCGGGCAGTTGGACGGCAGCGAACCCCATCGGCGGCTCTGAATAATGGCGGACGTAGTGCTGTACTGATTAACCATTAAAGTAAAGGGACAGTGCCCACGTCCTCCGTCACTTGTCACTTGTGTAGGGACAGACAGTTACAACCATGTCCTCTCTTGAAACCGGCTCCCTGCTAGCGCAGTCGGGTGCCCTAACCGCTATACCGTCTGGGAGGCTTTAATCCCTAAAACTTGCAATTAATGCAAAACAGTTAGTCAATTTCCGCATGAAATCATATAATTCCCCGACAGGTTGCCCTTAAATAAAAAACTTCGTCCAAAAACAGTCCACATCACTTCTTACAGTGAATATTGTTACGTAGCAGGTATCAGACTTCTTCTGAGAGACATCTTTAACTTGGTTTTGGTTCTTCAATAACATTAAAAAACATAGCCAATTTGCATTTAAATACAGAGATTCTGCCCTTGCGATTCTTGAATGGATGTACACTTTTTGCCTTGAAAATTTGTTCACCAAGAAAGAGTTGTCATAATTGAAAGAAATGTTTTTATATATGTGACTGCATCATTACGTTAGTGAATGATTGCAAAATCAAAACGAAAGGATAATTTATTACAAGAGAAACTACAAATGAATAGAGGTTCAGGTACTGGGCACGTCCAGCGCGAATACACGGAACTATACCGGCGGACATGGAGACATACAGGTCGCGTGTAGTTATCATCTCATTCCAGCATTGCTGAAAGCGAACCTCCATTTGGATAAAACTATTGGGCTGTCCAACTTGCCGTCCCAACTGATACGAAACCTCAATGATGATGTCATTGTGTAAAAGTCTATCTCTACTATTCCACATACACTAATTTAGATCCTACAATGAACCTGGCGAATTCTCGCACAAGTGTGAATTAAATACCAGCACAGAAGAAGGGTGCAAAAAAAAAAGCCTTTATTAAATCAAACTCATTTACCAGAAAGGCACAGACTTCCTGCATTACAAAAACACCGTTCACTTGCGGTGGTAACTAAACGTAGACTATAATATAAATCAAAATCTGAAAAAATAAAAGAATGCAAGAACGCACTTCAAAATTATACCTAAGGGATGGACTCACAAAAATCTAACAGGCCTGATACTAAACTGATAAGGCCAAGAGGCTTACTAGAGTGATCGCGAAATAACAGCGAAACGTGCGCTTGGCTAGCCCCCGATGCTTAATAAGTAAAGGTTAGTAAATTTAAACGAATTTAAATTCTTAACAAATACGTATAAAAGTAAAAAGGTAAAAAAGCAAATTTAAATTCTAAAAAAAAGGAAAAAAGCCAAAATAATTTAAAATAATTTAAAAATATGCAAACATGTAGAAGATTTAATTCTCGAACTAATCTACAATATCATTTAAATTCAGAAGCATAAGCAAATCAAGTGCAAAATCTATCCATGAAAATAAATCTACATGTAGTATCTAAGTATTTTCTAAATACGAAATTATATTTTTAAATATATATTATTTTTAAAAATTGTGAATTAGTTCTTTTTGTTTCTTTTTTTTTTTTTTTTTTTATTTCTTATTGGTTTGTTGGATTATGTATAGTTCTTTTATAGTTTCTTTTTATTGATATGCATATTCGTGTAGGGGGAAGTTCTGTAGACAAGGATTTCTAAAATACATTGGTTTCTAGATTTTTTTTTTATTATTTTATTAAAAAAAAATTTTAAGAAAAAGTTTAATTCTTGACTATACTTGCTTGTTTCTCAAAAGACTTAATTAGT